TGGCATTGCTAATAAATCTTTCGCCGACGCGCCAAAGTTACCGCTTAGCTATGCGGGAATTGAGATTTATGTCGAGTGGGAGTGGGTCGTTGACGGGCAGCGTTATTATTATAACTTTCCCTCTTATGTTCTACCCGCTTGATGCACGCACAGTAACAAGCTAAACGAAAATCCCACGGNACGTAACGAGATAGAGGGCTACGCGAACGGCGGCCCGATAGATATCCCGCATGACACTTTCATATCGGTGCGTGTGCAGATGCCAGAACGTGAGGAGCCAAAACCGAAGGTGATGCACAGTAATGTTTACTGCAACACCGTAGCAAGCTAAACGAAAATCCCACGCCGCTCGGCGATAAAGTCGAGTGCATCCTCAAGTGTAAAAACAGGAATAGGGGTGAATGGTCCAGGCGTTGTTACCCATCACAAGCAGAAGCACAGGCTGCGCAGCAGACGGCTCAGCGGGAACTGGCCTCACGGCTGGGAGTTGCGAATGCGCGAATCCAGCCGCTACAGTATGCAACAGATCTCGATATGGCCACCGAGGCAGAAAAGGCACAGCTTGTCGCGTGGAAAACCTACCGCGTGCTGCTAAACCGTACCGACGTTAGCACAGCACCTGATATTGCGTGGCCGGAAGCGCCAGAAGGTGAAAAAGCGGTGAATTAGCGTCCGTCGTCGAACAGGGTAGCCAACTCGTCGTCGGAAAGGCCGGTCGACATTTTGACAAGAGTACGTTCAACGCCGTTGGCGAGAAGTTGCCTTGCAATTTTCAGCGAGGCGCTATGCTCGCCTTCTTGGCGTCCTTTCTGCTCACCAAGTTGTATACCCTTCTGGATGCCCCTTTGCTCACCTTCCTGCCGTAGCTGTTCTGCAATAGTCATGACATCCTCCTGATAATCCTGTGTCTGTACCGCGATGGTATGTAAAAACTGTCGGGTGTCTGAGGTTTCACCTCGACCTACAATATAGTACATCAGGCTACGGAACTGCTCTTTTGGTATTGACCATAGATTAAGCAAGCGGGCGATATCTCCGGCCAGTTCCAGCATATCCCGTGTACGAATATGTTTCTGCACCAGTTCCAGCAGCGCTACCCGCCGATGCGTCAGGATTTCGTCATCCGGCATAGCGGTAATATCAACCAGCGGGAATGCCTGTGTATAGACTGATTCTGCCAGTTCAGGGTCAGCAAAGCAATCGAGCCATTGGGTGCTGTAGGGGTAGGGCGACGTGGTACCGTGGTAGAACAGGAGCGGGATGACCACGGGCAAGGTCTCGTTGCCTTGCTCCAGGTGCCGCTGCATGGCTGCCATGCTATAACGCATTAAACGCCACGCCATCAACTTCTCGGGCCTACTCTGGTGCTCGATCAATGTGTAAATGTAGCCTTTTCCCGCATTCATCTGCACGGAATAGAGCATATCCGAACACTGGGTGCGTAGGTCGTCTTCGATGAAGCTGCCCGATTCCATTGCCAAAGTACTAAAGTCGCAGCGCTCACGCAGGTGGGGCGGAATATGTACTTCCAGAAAGTCCCGGGCTACAGCGATATCACCTAGGAACTTTTTGAAGAGCGCATCGTGTTGGGAGAGTGATGATGTTGTCATCGTCATATTATACCCTGGTCAAATTAGGGTATGCCATCGAAATCCCCAGCCTCACAACGAGCAGGGGCAGCTGTCAGTGCAGTTGCGCGGACTACTCGGGTTCGGACTCGTGCCAGTGGCTGAACGTTTAAAAAATCTTCTGGGCGGTCATTTGAGCAATCGGTGCCTAAAGGCACAGTCATCACAAGTTCTGATTTATTCAACAAAGCAGATGAAACATGCAATATTGGTGGGAGTTTTGGCTCTGGTCGGATGTGGTGAAACGCCACGCCCGGATCCTGTTTATGTCGAAGTGAAAGTACCCGTGCCGGTACCGTGCAAAACCGCCGAGGTATCAAAACCGGCTTTCGCTATAGACCAGTTAAAAATCGGTACACCTATCGATCAGCAGATGCGCGCGCTACGTGCAGAACGTCACCAGCGCATTGGGTACGAGAAGGAATTAGAGGCGGCTATTTATGCGTGTAAGTTATAATAAAGCTTGGTATTTGAATGATTGCCACTGCTTAACCCATTGAAAATAGTATCGCTGTTTTTGTGGTATATACCAATAAAATAATATAACCATATGTTTTTAAATTACTTTTGTGGCGGTCTTGAAAACCGTCGAGTGTAACAGCTCCGTGAGTTCGAATCTCACCTCCTCCGCCAATTGCTTCTAACTAACTGATTTTAAAGTTCTTTAATAATAATTCATCCCAACTGTTACACATGATTGTACCACATCGCGTCATCAGACTTTGGCGAATGTTGGAGAATCTATCGCATGTGTACACATCTTTTTCGTCGCGGGCTTATTTACTATTTTCGTAGAAGAATTCCAGCGGACTTGGTTCAAGCTTGTGGTAAATCTGAAATAGTTCAATCGCTTAAAACATCCAACAGAGCCGAAGCTGTGATACGTCTGCGTAGACTTGACGTAGATTTGGACATGAAATTTTCTGAGGCAAGAGCTACCACTACTATTACTACCAGCACATCTGATATAAAATCTGATATTGAAGTCCCACACGATGATATAAGTCAAAGTGGTAATATTGATATTAAAACAGATATCAAAGAAAATATTGATATTACAGCACTATCAACATCTCCATTATTGCCATCATCTCAACAGGTGGTTTCAATTGTTCCAGCATTGAAAATAGAAAAAGCTCCTGTAGAGCAACAACGGCTTTCAACAGAAGTAACAGCATTATCATCGTCATCTCCACTTATCACTATGCAAAATCTTTATGATATGTGGCTTGATAAGCAAGAGCGTCCAGCTAAAACAAGAGATGAATATCAGCTTGTTCTTGATAGGTTTGGCAAAGATCGTGCTGTAGCTCAAGTGACTAAATCTGATTGCATTAAATTCAGGGACAGCCTCCTTAATGAACATGGCCTGTCCGTAACAACAGTGAATAAAAATTTAAGTATCCTGAGTGGGTTTTTCAATATTGCTATCGAACATGAATACATTACAGATAATAAAGTAACCAGACTTCAATTAAAAAAGAAAGAAAGTGCCAAGAACAAACGGTTGCCGTTTGATGAAGCAAGCCTAATCAAAATCTTTACCTCTCCATTATATCTTCGTGGCAACTATCCTAAAGCTTGTGGCGGTAAAGCTGGTTATTGGCTGCCAATATTGGCCTTATTTACTGGAGCAAGACTGGAAGAATTAGCGCAGCTTCGACACTGTGATATACGAAGTAAAACATATCTTGATGAAAGTTCAAATGGAAAAGAGCTAAACAGATGGATATTACATATCACAGATGAAGGTGATGGACAAAAACTTAAAACAGCTACCAGCATTAGACGTGTGCCGATTCATAATGTCGTCATTAAACTTGGTTTTCTTGAATACTTAAAGGAAGAAAAAAGTAAGAATAGTAGTAGTGAAAATATTTTCCCAGATTTGCTGCCTGATGTATACGGTAAAATCAGTGGTAACTGGTCAAAATGGTTTGGAAGATATCTAAGAAAAGAATGTGGTGTCGAAAACACAAAGATGGTGTTTCATTCTTTCAGGCATACGTTCAAGGATTTATGCAGAACAGCAAACGTAGAGGAAAGTGTTCATGATGCACTAACGGGACACTCCAATGGAAGTGTGTCCAGAAGCTATGGTGGAACACAATATCCACTACGACCATTGGTTAAAGCGATAGATAGTTTGATACTTCCTTCGAGAGTTATCAAAATTTTAACACACAAACATCATAATTAAAAACATATCAATTATTGAATATTGGAATTGAATTTAAATGCCTGAATTAATTCAAAAGGTAGTAAGTAGGATTTTCAATGCCATCATCTCTTACGATGGTACATTAGATATCGTTATTGCGGGTACAGTTGCTATCCTTAGAGGATTACGTAACAAAGATGGATTTACCTCTGTTTTGTTAGATTCATTATTGTGCTGCATTTTTGGTTTACTTGTAAAGAATACGCCATATGTTCAAGGTATCAGCATTGAATGGCCTCAAGCATCATTTGCCATTTGTGTTATCATCGGTTGTATTGGTTCTAAGTACATTGGTGACTGGATAAAATCAGCATTGGATGCAGTAAATATTTTTAAATTGCTTAGGAAATAAACTTGTTTAAGTTATTACATTCTTAAACAATGACTTTTTTAAACAGCATTTTTTCAAACATCATCTTGTGACATAGATGGTGTATATCCTGCTTGTTATACATATCCATGCATTCATCTATTCACCCATCGACATTACATCCTCTACAAGGCCATTCGGCATACCCCTGCTTGCTCCTGAGAGCCTTTCTGTGAGGCTTATGGGCAAAGGGCTACAAAGGCTTTGCCAAGGCTAGCTGAAGGCTAGGAGATGCGTTAGGAGTGGTGTGGGTGGTTTAGTGTGGTGTGGTGCTTAGGCTATGCTGGGGGTATTGCTACGCTACGCTGGGTGGGTTATTGGCTAGAGGATAGGATGGAGCTAGGTGGGTGGGGTGTAATTCCTGTATGCCCATTGAGCTATCATGTTCCTATTGGAATAGACTCTTTATGGATAATGTTAACTTATATTTATTTTAATTATTTTTTAACAAGAGCATGAAGTCTCTTGGTTATTAAGTTCCTCTTATATTATGTCACTACTGTTGTTTTTGATGTATGTTTTTATTTTAAATATTTTTAAAATTCCATGTCCAAGGCCATGAAGTTTCTGGTGTATTAGGTTTCTTACACCCTATGAGGTTCCTCTTCTATTATGTTCCTACTAGCCTCTTAGGTTTCTCTTCTATTAGGTTCCCATGTTTGTTTTATTTAAATTTTATTTTTAATCTCCTTTGAGGTTTCGCTGCCGTTATGTTCCTCATGGAACAGTCCTTGCTCGTGTTTGAGTTTGGTTATCTACTTCAGCATTAGTAGGCTGGGGACTTCTAGTAGGTTCCTACTGGAACAGTCTGTGCTCTATCTGTTAGTTCAGTTCTCTACCTTAGCATTAGTAGGCTTTGGACAACACCTTAAACCCAACACCCACACCTCAGCTTCAGTGTTTGTCTTTTGGCTAGGCGCTTCGTCTCAACATTAGTAGGTTTTGGACTTCTGTTCAGTTCCTGCTGGAACGGCTGTGTCTGTATGTTGCTATGTGAGGGTAGTGGCATGTAGGAAAGTAGTGGTGGGATAGACTCCTTAATGGGTTTTTCCAATTCCTACTAATGTTGAAGGAGGAGTGCGGGGTTGATGTACCTTGCTCGGGCTAAGATTTTATTTGATGTTTTGAAATTGTATAAGAGAAACCCTACTTCAAGGGCATTATACAAATTTGCCAAAAATCTGTCAAGAGCATTCTATACCAAAAATAGAGTCAAAATGTAAAAATAGAGCAAATAACAGTCAATTCTGGTTGTTTTATAATCTGTTGACATATCCGTGTGTGTTTTGTGTAGGTAAACACAGGAAGAAAACTGTCACAGAATGAATTATGAAAATGTAGCATTTCTTTTAAATTATCTCAATTATTTAAGATTTAGCCAAGATTTTAAATTTTTTAAAATTGTTTAATAAAAAATCGTTTGAATAAGGGTTTCTAGCATTCCACATGATGGCGAAAGATTAGTCAATTAGCTTTGATTATATTTTTATTTCACTTGTTTGCATAACGTGCATAAAGATAGAGATTACAATTAAACGTCCATTTTGTTTTCAGGATATAAAGTAAGTTGATAAATTTTTTATAGAGGTAAGGTAACAACGAAAATTTATTTGATAAGAAGAAGTAGCGAGAGGTGGAATGTAAGGAGGTAAGAGAGGTAGGAGTCCCAAGCCTAACTTTCTTATGCCTACCTTACCTGACATTGAATCATCTGGATTTGGATTAGAGGTGATTGGTGAGTGAGTGGGATTGATTGAGCTGTATTGATTAGTCCTTCCTTATTCATTCATCAGCGCTAACTCAATTCATCGATTGATTTCATTCCATCTGCTTACTCTTATTGAATAAATGGAGATTGTACCGTATGTTTAATATCGCTAAATCTTTAGTTCCTTCCATTGCATCTCAACTGTATAAGCTCAAGAACGGTAATAATATTGACATTGGTGCTGATATTGATGTTGAAAGTTTCATGGAGCCAAAAGCTTGTGCCATAGCTTCTGTTGCTATATTTCGCATGATGGACTATCTTGATAAAGATGATGTTCCTACCATCGACAAGATGACAGATTATGCTATGAAGTCTATTGAAAAAGCCAATAGCCTTAACAACGAGAAGCATGTGGTTCAATATCATTATCAGGATGAGCCAATCAAGATTGTGGGAATCGCTATTCGTCTTGGTTATCTAACTCACGATAAGTCTACGCACACCGTTTCTGTATCTGATAAATGGATTGCTATGATGGCACATCATAAAGCAGCATTACCTCTAAGTGAACCAATTACTGAAGAGAATCGTCGTAAGCCATATGTGAAAGGAGGAAGAACCAAACCATCAAATCTAGCAAAGTCTTGCATTGAATATTTGGAAGCAACTGAATATCATGTTGAAGC